CCCCCCCCCGCCCCCTTGAAAAACGGTATCGAGACGTGCGCGCACGACCATCTGTCCCTCTTCCTCCTCTCGATTCAAGTATTTTTTTTTTCTCATCGCCTCTGTCTTGAGGGGTTTTGCACGCATCTGCCCCGAATTCCCGAGAAGTCTCATTCAGGCCTGGCGGATACCACTGACTTTACCTGGGGTTGGACCTCCCCTCATTTTTTATTCTTCCTTTTATTTATTTTTTTTTCTTCTCTTATTTCGCATGGGTCCGGACAACCCCTCAATAAAATGAATTCTTGGCTTTTTACCTGGAGAATACCTCGAACGAGTGAAGTTCCTTCCTTCCTATGCATATTTCAGGGGTTTTTATTCACAAAACCAGTTGATCAACTTGGTATTTTTCTTTTATTTACGGTTTATTGAGCGTAAAAACTGGTTCTCGAGTGAGAATGATCCGGGGGTTGATGAACAATTCCAGTTTTATAAATGAAAATGTGAAGTACGGGGGGCGGGGGAGTATGGCGTGAAGTGTGAGCACTTGATTGTAATTTACGCGTATAATTTTTTCATCTTCAAACCCTTAAAAGTCCTCTAGATTTTCAATCATCAAATTTGTTAATTAAATTGTTTGAGAATTTTTTTTTTAATCCTAAATATTCACGCTATTAAAATTATACTTTGCAGAGAATTATTATTTTTTAAACATTCATTCATCGGAATTCTAATTTTCATAAAATCCAAAATTTTGGAAAATTATTCTAAAAATGAAAACAACGATTGCAGCTCCTTCATCTTTGCACTCGATCGAAGAGACATCCGAAGAATTATTTCAATCCATCATTCAATGAATTCAGAACATTATTTTCAGTTTTGGTGGGGCAACCGATTTTTTTTTAAATTACAAAATCAAAAAATATGACATGTGGATTAAATTTGATTAATGTCGCCGAATAGGGCTCAACAATACCTCCACTTGAGGAAAATTTACTCATGCGATGTTTTGACCCTCAAACTCTCAGAAATCCCCTAGATTGACTTTTCCGCTGGCTAAAATTCCGCTAGTGTCAGCTTCATCCGTGAAGTGCGATAATAGAGGGGAGGGGGCATTATGGAGATAGGGGAATCTCGAAATATTTAGTGGAGTTAATTCAGCGTGGGTCGTCTTACACGTTAAATGGTACACGCCAGTTTATCTTTATAATGGACAATAATAGATTGTAACGTCTGACAAAAATAGATGCGGGCGCAATAATAATAGAAATACTCAACTCTGGGGTAACGATGCAATCCTGAAATATTCTTGAAACTGATTTTATCACAATTGTGGTGAGGTGTGGGGGGGGGGATTATTAACAGTGGATGGCATATGCGGGATTAACATTGCTGATGAAGGGCCTCTTTTACTGGATAATTAATGTCACGTCTAATTACGACGAGAGGAATTAATGGGATTGAGAGAGAAAAACCGGTGGAATTAACTGTCGAATTGTTATGAAAACAGCTTTGGGGTTTAGTTACCCAGAAGCGTTGAATTTCAATGTTTCGACCGAGGTTTTATCGATAACTCGTGACATGTAATGTGTGTATTCCACACATTAACATTGAATATATCAAAAGCAAGTGGACACTTGCATTTTTTACAAATGAGTATAGTCATTGTTGCTAGTGATTGCAAGCACCCAAAGATGACTTCCCCCGACAACCAATTAACCCCCTTTTTCTTCCTGATTCCAGGTGGGGATGAAGTGCGTGCGCGGGCGGGTAGCGGCCGGGAGACAAATGGACCCCCGCGTGTCCTCCAATCCCCGCGGGCCGGTTGGGCAGTGCGTGCAGGCCCCTCATCATCAACCCCATCGCCAACAACCTCCCACAACCCCCAATGGAGCGACCGCCTACCCGTATCACCCCTGCCATCCCCGCGAAATCCCCCGCCACCGTCGATCCCTGGTAACCAAAGCCAGACTGCGCTCCCACCACCAGACAATTCACAACCCCCAAATCGCCAGGTTGTGTCGAGCCCCCGATGGCCGGAGCGTCTAGAACTCCGTGGAGTATCGCCCCTGATGTCAACAAATGGACAAAATTCGCCGTCACGGCCGGCCTCGTCGGCCTCAAGCGGCTCATCCACTAGTAATTTACCCCGTGTCCACGGCCACGACCACACAAGACCATTGCCACCGCCAAGATTGGAGCAAATGCCGGCTGTCTCAACGATAGCAGTACCCTTAACATCACCCCTGCCGCCCTTATCAGCGTCCAGCAGTTTCAGATCGCGCTTGCCCCTGACCAACTCCCTGAGCGATTCGCTCTCGTCGCCACGCGGGAGCGAGAGAAGCCAAGTTGGCGAGGTCACCCTGACAGTGCCTCGTCCCGACGGTGAGCGGGCTGTCAACGAATACGTGGAGACCCCATTCCGCCAGGCGCACACCACAAATCCAAGTCAAAAGTGCATGAAGACAGAGAGAAGACATCATCACTTGGCGCATCATCACAAGAGCGACTCGCGTCTTCCCCGAAGACATCAGCAAACTCTCCTGCAATCGTCGCCAAGTGCACCTGTCACCAAACAACCGGTGTCATTCACAAAGGAGCCAGCCAACACCATTGGCACTGGTAGCATTGGCCCTCGCTCTAACGACCCTAGTCTATCCATAATGTGCGACTACTGCGGCAAATGCAGGTGTGAATCCTGTCGTGAGCCACCACCTCTGCCCAGCCGTTGGCTGTGCGATAATACCTGTTTCTGTTCAGCTGAGACAGCTCTCGATTATGCGTCGTGCTTGTGCTGCGTTAAGGGCCTCTTCTATCATTGTGGTGATACTGGTAGTGGTGGAGACTCAGAGGCCGGTGGTAGCTGTGCCGACGAGCCGTGCTCGTGCTCTGGCTCGAGAAAGGGCGCAAGGTGGGCGTGTTTGGCAGCGTTAACAATGGTATTACCATGTCTATTGTGCTACTGGCCACTCAAGGGATGTGTCACTATTTGCGAGGCCTGCTATGCCAGGCATGCTGCACAGGGCTGCAGGTGTGATCCCAATGCCAGGCACAATGATAACGAAATTGTTGTCACGAGGGACTCCAGGGATCCGGAGAAGAGACTGCTCGATCCTGTTACGCCGGAATTGTGAGATTTTTACCATTTGTTGTTTTTTTTAAGAACGCTAATCTGTGAGGTTACGAGTTTTAACAGGAATGTACCAAAGTGAGGAGTTTATGGGAGTGGATTTTTAAGTTGTGTGTAGCTCTGATGGAACGATCGGTTGGGAGTTACAAGTGCGCAATTAGTACAAGAGTTGCATTTAAGGGGCGATTTCAGAGGGACTGTTTATTTTTCGATGCCCAAGTGTCTTTTCCCCCCTTTTTTTGTATTTATTGTTTTCTCCGAGGGACTACGGGCGGAAGGGGATGTGTGAGAGGGATATTTCTTTTTTTTTCTTTCGTGGGGGTTGCGGTGTGAAAAAAAAGATAATATGACGGTCACACGTATGCAGATGATTAAACAACAGAGACATGTACACGACACTTACAGCGTAGATAGCGGTATATATTATAAATATATAAATAACTATATGCAAGGATTAAGAAAACACGAAAAACAAGAAATTAAATATATATTGTATATTACATTTGTATAAAGAAAACATGAAAAACAAAAACTTTTCTACAGTTTAATTTATTCGTGGGCGTCGTCGATTTGATGTGAGACCGCGGCAGGCTCCAGGTAGAGACGAATATCGGTGGTTTTTTTGGTAGATTGAGCAGTTCGGAAATGATGATTTGAAATGGGAAATTGAATTTCAGGGGCGAAGCGGTGAAACGGTTTTAGAAATTCAGTGGTGAAGTGGTCAAAGGGTTTAAGGCAATTCCATTCTGGCGCCAGGTCTCGATGAATATCGCGAATTCTGAAGGAGTTGGGGAAATTTTCCTAAAAATCTTTTTTGTAGAGAAAAGTCTTCGATTTCACTGTCGAGAAAGATCTTACAAAAATCAACTGGGGGCTAAATCGACTTGAACCTTGAAATTGACTACTTCACTACTGAATTTTTGGAATGCTGTAGAAACGGTCCTGTCAAGAATGTCGCCATCTCCCTTAGATTTTGAGATATTCACTGAAAACTGGCGATTACACTGATGGAGAAAATGATTTTTGTTGAGATGTTGCTAAGATCTTACGGTGAATATCAGTTATTTCTTCTTGAGATACATTTACTTGAATCAAATAAAACAGTCCTTGGCGTCAAGTCACATGGATTCACCGCAAAAATGGAAAAGTTCTAGATTTTTTAACCCAATGTAATCTCCAGTCGAGAAATTTTCTACTTTCATGAATTGATCAAAGATTCGTATCTAGGAGACGATTACATTGAGGAATTAATTGAATGCTGTTTTCTCGAATGAAGACGATGTTTAAATTGAGCTTTCCGTAGATCGCATTGAACGAAATTTGTGATATCCAAGTTTGCGTTGAATTGCCGTAATCTGTGATTTTGTTATTGTAAACTAATGCGATTTTTTTTACTACAATCTCAAAGCTTTTTCCGCGTAACAATATTCATTCTGATTCGACGTACGAAGTGCTCACTTCAATTATAATTTACTTGGAACAACGTATGATCGAGTTGACTGAGATAACAACGTATTTAGTCATGAGAGTTATTTTGACTTTTGATTAGACCAGCGGATTTCTGGAGTTGGCAAACTTTTGGCCAGAGAGAAATCAAATACTCTCATTATTGCGACAAATAAAAGAAACTTCAATTATGGAGAAGTTCGATTTCTCCCAATCAAATGTATCTCAAGAAGAGATAACTGGTATTCACTATGAAATCATGTTCATTTGAAAATTAACAACCGAATGATAGTTGGTTCAAATAAAATTCTGTTCATAAAATTAGTTTTTCTGTCAGTGTAGTCAAAACCGAGTTGAACTGTTTTACCGTTTCGCTACTGATTTGGGGGCAAATTTCCCATGGAGATGGGAAATTTCAGGCGATTACAGACGAGTGGACAGAATATTTGACAGTGGTATGACGATGAGAGCGGAGATATGGAGAATAAGGCGTCGGGTGGGTTTGACTTTATTAATTTTCTTTCCAGTATTATCTAGTCTTGTGAACGTTTCGTCGACGTGGGAAACGAGGAAGCAGGTTTTCCCTCATTCTGATGAGAAAAAAAAATGAATAAATGAGGATGAAATTTGATGAAAGAGGGACAGCCTAGGGATTCGTCTCCTCTTGCACGTGGTATCGCCATTCTGTTTCAAAATGAAACTAATTAATTATGTTTTTTTTAATCAGGGGAAAGCCTGTGTGTGTATGTGTGCATAAGAGTGGAAGAAATGTTTACGATGAAAAATAAATATATATATAAATTAGAGCACAATTTTTGTTTTTCTAATCAACATGTAATCGCTTTCGGTTCGAGACGTATTTATAATTGAAAATTAATTTAATAAATTATTCGACAACTAGTGGAAAAGTTGAAAATTCAGGAAAAAAAGTGGGAAATTGATTTTAAAAGGACTCGAGCCAGAAGTAGATGTGAGGAAAACATGAGGCTGAAACTGGCGAAACGATTCGCCAGCGGAAGATTCGATTTAGGGGAATGGGGGGGTGAACAACAATTTTTAAATCGTGAGCAAAAAAATTTACGCATATGATTGTGTGACCCTTACACCCCCCAGAAATTTCCCAAATTGAACTTTCCGCTGGCGAATATTCCGCTTGCTTCAGCTTCATGAGAAGCACCAGGAAAATTAAACAATCCGCATATACACACAAACAATATAGGGCTTTAGAAAGTTGTAGACGTGAAACTGCAAGAGTGAATGATATTTTCCATTATTTCGATGTTACTTCTCGTCTTTCAACTTGCAGTTTCATCTAAAAATGAAGAACGTACCACAGACAAAATGCTAAAACTATACTCTGTATGCGGACACGTTGATGTATAAAGTAATGAAGAAAAAAAACCGATGTTTAAAATGAAAAACAATACAAAAATTAAGATAGATAGGTGTGAGTGAGTGAATGATTGTGAGCGATAAACCCAAGCTATTCAAATTCAAGACAATGACTTTATTTTTTTCAACGGAAAATGCTTCATTCCTCCGCTGAATGGAATGAATGACATTGATGGAATCATTAACAGCTGAGAATACATTTAAAGAATTACATAAAAAAAATAGAAACGAGACTCGCCGAACGAAAGAACCCAAAACACCCCTTCACGTTTACGTTTAAGCCTACACGCTCTGTATATGTCTTGTAAATATATATTTGAAAAAATCGATAAAAAAAACGTCTCATCATTCCCCAGAAACCCATCAACGTAAATTTCCTGCTCCAGGTAATTATAATTCATTCATAAATTTATCAATTCTTCATTACCCACTTCCTGTTCTGTTCGTGAAGCTGAAACTGTCGAAAGATTCGCCAGCGAAGATTCGATTCAGGGGAATCTAGGGGTGTACAGATATTTTCTAGTCATGTTCAACCTCGTTTCCAACGTTGTTTGACCCTTAAACCCTCAAAATCCCCTGAATTGAATTCTCCACTGTCGAATATTCCGTTAGTTTCAGCTGCACGTTCTACTCTGACATTCAAACAAGAAAGAAAAACCTCTGAAGTTGATCAGGCATGCCTCCTCCCCATTCATAAATTTTCCAACGTCATCAGTATTCACCGGAAACTCAATTTTTCTCCGAACGAACATGATATAGACCATAAAAATGGGAAAAATACGTTCAAGCAACAGAGAGGGGGCAGTGATTCAGAGGACAACCGGTGAATCGTTTTAATGGAATTACGACCACACGATTCCCCCTCCCTCAATCGCCCGAGGAGAGACACCGTGAATGGAACTTGGGTCGTCGCACCGAGGGAACTCGGTTAATTATCATGAAGCTGAACTAGCGAATGATTCGCCGGCGGAAGATTCGATTCAGGCGAATCCAGGGGTGTTCAATCATTTTTAAGTCATGAGCAAATTCATTTCCACTCAAAAGAAGTTTGCTCACACCATCATTTGCCCCTTAACGATATCCAAGTGCCTTCTGATCATTTTCAATCATCAATTTTCTCCATTAAATTACTTGAGAAAAATTTGAAGAAAATCGTGAATGTTCAGTATTATTCAAATTACATTTTCCACAGAATTATTATTTTTAACATTCGTTGTTGATGAATCAATAATTGTCATTGTTACGATCCGGAAGAAATTATTTTTATGGCGGAAAATTGATTGGTTATAAATTATTTATAGAAAATGCTCGGAATTTTCAGAAATTGCAATTTAATCGTCTTTCAACTTCGACTTAATGGCATTAAAAAAACATTTTAAGCTATGATTGAATCCATTTGAAGCATGATATTCAAAGATATCCCCGGAATTCTGAATTTCAAAAAATACAAAATTTTGCAAATTTTCAAATTAATAAAAAAAACGATTATTGCTATCGCCTTCATCATTGAACTCGGTCAAAAGGACATCCAACCAATTTTTTAAGCCTCTAAATACATGAATCAATCAATAATAATAATTAAAGATAGAAATGAGGAAGTTGTTCTGGACATTTACCAAAGAATCTATAAAGAATTTTTCATTTTCATTAGCGGTCAGGCAGTTTCGAGATATTTCGATATAAAACAACTTCACGTTTCTTTCATCTTTAGTAAAATACAAGATCTAAGCGCGCGCTCGCGCGCGCGCTGATCTATTCATTTGTTGAAATGAAGAAATGGAATTCATTAAATTTCATTTTCTCATGAATACCTTATAAATATTGATAATGAATCAAAGAGAATTCGACTAATGATTGAAGTGAATAGCGAAGTCGAGTAAAAAATCTATAAAGAATTTTTAATTTTCAATTAATTATCTTCAATTTTTTTAAATAATCGGTCTCCATAAAAGGCCAGAATTTATTAATTTCACCGATAATACATATACATGTGAAATATATATTATATATATATATATGACGTGAAAAAAAAATTCACCACTGAAGAATTTGAAAATGCCGCGTGTTTTTTTTTGTGAATAACTTCGTGTCACATATTAGCCAATCAGAATTAAGGATTAGCGGTCAGGAAATTTCGAGATATTTCGATATAAAACAACTTCACGTTTCTTTCATCTTTAGTAAAATAAGATACTGAGTCGATATGACAAAAAAAATCAAAAACTTGAATTTGAACGATTGCAAAGTTTCCATGCGGAAGCAAAAAAAATCACCAATGAAAACGCGCGGGTAAATCAATTATCATTAAATTGTAAAATTCGTTCGCATTGAAAAATCAACGAGTGAATGCTGCTTCGAGAATGAAACTCCGGCTGTGAACGGATGTGACGTGGCACGTTCGTCCATAGAGCTCTCGATGGTTGGGCTTTCAATGGGCGAGAGAGGGAGAGAGATAGAGAGAGACACGCAGGAAAAAAAACGAGCGACAGACCGTGAGACACCGGAGTGGGGGCACTCTGGTGGAGTAGCGGTCGAGGGGGGGACGGCGTGAGGGGAGGAAGGCAGAGTGGGACCACCGGAAACGCCAGTTAGGCGAGCGGGCCGCATCCGCCCGACTTGAGAATGGATCTAATGCCTCTCTCGTGTTGATGCCTCTCGATTCACGACGATGTACCCAACTTCAACGCTTCAACGTGTTTATCAATCGAGAGAGGAAGAGGATGGACTTGATTGATTTTTTTATGGGTTCTTTATTGGGAAAAACGGAGAATTTTTTTGGGGATATCGGGTTTTCGTTAGTTATTAGAGGGCAGTCAGGCGTTGCATTTAATTCATGATGACAATTTTAATGGGAGTTGGGTAACTCCGGAGTGAAGTGGAATTTCTCAGTTGTACTTCGTTTTTTTTAATTGACGGTGTTGGAATATTTGAACACAGCTCTTCTGTTTTTCTTCAAAAATCACTCGACAAGGTTTATGTGTTGAGGAAAGTCCCCAGAAAAGGACTAATTTATGATCCGTTGTGCTTCGAATTCAAAGGAAACTCTGTCCTCTGGAGTCATAAACTTTGTCTTGCTTTTCCCTCAGTAAAGGTTTTTCAAATAGTTAGAATTTAGTCTCTGGACAACGGTCCTCTAGTACAGTCGTGCCTTCCTCGTGCCAATAATAAAGAGTTCAAGTTGAAAGTA